CCCCCCCTGAGAAGCCCAGGCCCAGGTCCCAGTTGCTGGAGATTGAGAACTCATTGAGATTGGAGGTCTTGGAGACCAGATCTCCCTCATAGAGGTGATGACCTGGTGATGTATGATGGGATGTCGTGGAGTTGCTGATAGATGCTGGTTGATGGACTTCTGTGTGGGAATCATGAGAACTAGTATGATTGAATAAGATTGATGAAACATTTGACACATTACAAGTCAACATGTTTGCTAGACACGTTCTTCAAAACAACTAACATTTTAAAACACGGAAAACCACAAATCACAAAAACGCGTAAAAACCACACCCGCATAACGTCGTTTTCTGTAACTTAAGTAGCTACTGGGCTGGGCCGCAGAAGAGCTCAGGCTTCTTCAAGGAAGCTATCCCCGCCCTAGGATTGATTTGGTTCCTAGCTTTTTAGGGATTGATTTGGTTCCTGGTGTTGGAGTTGTGAAGCAAAGCTGTCTTCTTGAGATCCTGGCGATCTTGTCCCTGTGAAATTCAAGCAAGTCCTTCAGAGAAGAGATTAACGAACCAAAACATAAAGAAGGCTTGGATGACTTGGATGACTTGACTGAGGTCAATTGTCCTCGACTCTCTCAACTCGGCAAGCCTGGACCTCAATTTTGGAATGCATTGTCTTTTCATCATTTACCCTCTAACATAATAGCAATGGCCTCGAACCTAATAGCGATGGCCTCCAACCTAATAGCGATGGCCTCATGATCATTTGGATCCTGCTTCGGCTCTATTGATCTGGCATTGTCATCTTGTTCCACTGCGGCCGCAGCATGATCCATGAATGCCAGTTGAGTAGCTGATGCCTCAAAAAAGATTGCGTGTTGAGCAATCCAGATTTCTCAAGCCTGAATCGCTACACGGGTCATGCTATGTTTGCAACTATTTGCAGGCCATGTTCTACAGCAATGCAAGAAATACCTCTGCAGAGCTTGCCTGGCTGAATGGGCGTTGATCCTCCGGTCCGCCCTCCTGGCTGAGAACGCAATCAACATATTGAGCGTTATTTTCTGCGATGTGGCCTTTGATTGCTGCAAAAGAGCGCCATTCTTTGAGTACCAGCCATTGGCATCAACGCCACCCATTTGAAGTGCTAGCCTGGAATAACAGTGCAAATTCTCCTAACTTGTTTTGCAGTGATCCGCCTTTCATCTAGGGAATAATCACGGATTTTCTTGTTACACTGCTGGGGAGGCACTGTCGGGCCAAATTTAACTGAGCACGAATGAAGTTGGCATCATTAATTTTGGGAATGCACAACCAAAGGTGCCTCGAGTCCGAAGTTTCCACTTGGACGATCTGTCTGTTGCTCGTTCGTGTGGAACCGCTGCTTCCTTGCAGACTATGTCGTGATTCTATCTTTGTGATGTTCTCATGTACGCTTGATTATTCCATCCCTGAATGCGGACCTGCTGCCACTCCATACAGCCTCCGCCGGGAACTGCATTCAAATCTTTTGTGTTTGAGTTCGGCACCACAGCCTCTCCATTCCCCAAGCACTGTCAGTCCAGGCTAGGGGAGAAACTTGTTCAATCTCACTCTGCCGTCATTCTTGAGTACACTTCACCAACATGACAAAAGTGTATAATCCACATCCGTCATCTAGCTGTAGCTCAGCAGCTCTTGCTTTGCAAAGGCCAGCTGAAACTTTGCTCATGAACAAGTAGTACCAATGATCCTAGCTTCCTCCATGTTGATCTCACTGAAGAAACTATGTCCGCGAAAGCTTGCATACAATCAGACTTTAGTTTGAGCTGAACTACAGAGAAGTGAGAAGCATGACTGTACTGGCACATACTTAGCTGCAAGCAGCACAACAAGTAGCTACGCTCATGAGTCTTATCATTTAAGCAACATCAAATGAGCTTCAACAATAACAAGTCATCGGTATTCTTTGGTGTTCTGAAGGGACAGTCGCAGCACTCAACCACCCAACAATAGCAAAACGTGTAAGAGTTGCTCACAACGAAATGCCGAAGTTCCATGTTTTGTTCCTTTGGCGACTCAATCAATTTGTCGCAGGTGAACAAATCTAACGAGTGAGACAAAACGTGCAACTGTTGGCCTCCAGCACCTGTCCTGACGCGAAGCTTTCGCGCTAGAGTGTGCACCTCAGGTCTGGATATGCCTGCAGTCACGACAACTCAGCGGGCACTCACTTGCATCTGAAGTGGCTTTTGCGAAAGCTAAGTGAGAGTTTAATCCCAAGAAACAGTCCTGTCGAAGTTCATCGAAGGTTGTATAAAAGGTCCTGAGCAACAAAGTGTTGTCTCAGAATGTGACAGCATAATCAAAACTTGGAGAGGTGCATATTGTGAAAAAATGGTCGCGGTGGTGGCATCTTGGCAGGATCCGATAAGAACTTCAGCGCACGGTCGATGTGAGCTGGATCCTGCGATGGAGATTCATCTCAAGTCGTTTGACGGCGGTTCCAAGATCGGAAAAGGTCCTTCTCTGCGTGTCCGAAGTAGAAGGCTACAGGAACACCTGTGAGAAAGCCGCCATGACGAGGCAACTTCTATGCAACCCCATACACCTCCAGGGAAGTAGCGAGGATCCTCATAGTATGGGTATGGACCAGGAGGATGCTGAGGGTACAGATTCTCCCACAGAAAATTGATGCCTCCTGCCACAGCTGGTTGAACGAATCTCTTTGGCTTGGCAGTACAATGAATCTCTTTGTGCTCTGCATCTTGGCCATCTTGCCTGTCTGGAAAGCACCTCCGCTGGCTTTGCATGTTTGAACTGTTGCGATGTTTGCAAAAATCCCAACCATAAGCAGTGTGAAGGAGAGCAAAACTCATTTGGGTTGCCGGAAAACTACACTTATATGAATATATGTGGCCAATCTTGCTTGAGTTTCACCCGAGGCACACCAAGACTTTGTTGCCCCTTCTCTCCTCAGTCGAGCAGTGATTTTTTTAAAGATGTGGTGGTGTTATCATCCTTGGGTGCCTACGTAGAACCCTACGGTTTGGCTACGTTTCCGCAGTGAAAGCCTACGGCAGACATGGTTTATTCCACATCGCCTACGGGAAATCTACGAACGTGAGGTTTTGGAGCATTACTGTTCCAATTTGCCTTCGGTGCCATGCAGTTCTTGCGAGTGGAAACATTTACGCAGCAGCTGACCCTTTATCTTTCAGATGATGAACTTGGCACTCTACGATGGGCAAGTTGGGAGTTCTCACCTCTTACACAGAAACAGTGGCCTTTCTAACCTCCCGGGTACTCTTGGCAGTGTGGTTGCATTGCAGTGTCTTGCGTTTTTCTCTGGTGGTCATTCTAAGTGCCCTTGCAAACTGCCCCTGGTTCATGTCTCAGACTATGAGATGAAAGACATCTGCTACAAGAAACTGAAACCAAAAAAACACTGTCAATTCTAATTTGAATCAGAAACGCAAGTTGGGTGACTTCAAGGCATGCTATTTCAGTCGATTTCGGTCGCCTACGGCAAACGCCTACGACATACATTAGACCATACAATGCCTGCGACCGCCTACGTCCCCAAGCAGGTTGCCTACGCCAGCCTTTTGAAGGTTACGTCTTGTATAAGCCCTTTCATGTCAAAATAATCTCAGCTCAGTCGAAAAAATAAGCTGTCCTTCTGAACTGCGAACAGCTGACAGCATGACTTGTTCTGAAGACCCCTTGTTGCAATCGCTCTGATGCCCTCTTTTGCTTGTCTTATCTTGTTCTTTGTATGCTGAGACGCCACAACGCCACGTTCAAAAGATCCTCGTCCTCGGCCACATCATCCGTCGGCACCCCTTGTTCAGGCTGTCCTGGAAACACAAACGGATGTGACATCCCATCTCTGCAAGTTTCAACGGTGGGCTTGCGCACCCGTCAAATATGAGCGAAGCAAGAATGTTCGTCGTGCTGTGCCTCTCATCTTTGCTCCAAGCCAGCGACTGACAAATGGGAACGACCAATGTGTCCAAGTTGGCTGAGCCTGCAGTGCAGCACAAGACAGCCCTGGTCATTCCAAAGAAAGAATGTAAACTTGTGTTGAGGAAAATCAGGGGAGCATTGAGCATGTGCCAGAATCAAAGAAAGCTGCTTGCCTGCCCCCAGCGCATCGTTGCAGCCGGGCAATTTTTGCAGGTGAACGACAAGAAGTTGCCCTGGTGCAAACAAATGATCACATGCCCAAAAGGCCGTGTCCTTGGAGCACATCTCCTTGCCGAACTTCTGATCACGAGGATCTCGATCAAGGAAATGCGTTGGCATCATAGGAAAAGGATACCTTGGAAGCAATGGATATTACATGCCGAAGTCGCCGCTTCTATATATTATTTCATGGACCTGCGTGGTCTGTTTTGTAGCTTCGATGGTCCCTTTAACTTCAATCAAGTTGAAGAAGCTTTCATGTCACGGATGCTTCCAGGGAAATATTTAAGAACGGTGTCGTGACTAGGACGGTTCCATATATTGCTGCAAGATGGCTGCACAAGAGGGAAAGCTGCAAGCAGGTTGGCAGGCAATGGAGATGCAAGGACTGTTACATATGTTACATGAAGCTTGCACAGGGTTGAACTCCAGAAGCACGAACAGTCTTCAAATAAGAAAGGCAACATGCTCCGTTTGTGCAAAGGAAGATACTTCTCTGTGATCTCCTCTGCAGTTCGCTGAAGAAGCTGATCAGCTTGAGGGCCAACCAATAGCATATCCTTGATAGCAGTCACTCTTCATGGTTCAAAAGGTTGGGTATCTTACGTTAAGAAACGTTTCTATTTGCATGTGTTCATACATCTTTGCAACTGCAAATGCAACTCGGAAAACTGTTGGCACGCTCCACGCTAGAAGCAGGGCCAAGACTGTAAAACCAAACAAAGGGAGAGGCAAAAGAAAGAGGGCTTTCTGAGGCTTATTTTAGAGATTAGTTCTGACAGTTTTGCACTCTCAGATTTGCGTGAAGAAGTTGTCACCTGAAGTTCTTCTGGAGCCACATGCGTTTTCAATCATCTTCTTGTGTCTTCTCGGTCAGCCCCATGCTGCTTGTGCCACTTGCCACCAGGAGTCCGAATCAAGCGATGCTCCAACTTTGGCCTCCAAATTCAGCAACAGTTCAAGGCATCTGAAGAATGCGGCCCTTGCTTCAGAGCAAAAAATGTGTGTTTTCTTTTGTCAGGGGGCTGCTAAGAGGAAGCTAACAAGTAACTAGCTAAGTAGGTTATATAAGTAGCTAGAGGAGCAATGAAGCTGCTATGTAGTCACTGGGACGCTGAAGACCTTCCTTGAAGAACCCCTAAAGAAATGATTGGGAAAAACTAAATGTGAATGTATAAAGGGCCTGAGCGAGCAGGATAGCCCGGAGCTTGTTGAAATTAAAGGAAATGTGAAGAGCGTCTTCGAAACCACGTGCATGCAGAAGCCTTGATGGCCGTTATCTCAGAACGAAAGCTATGAGATGTCTTTGAAAGACTCTTCGAAAGTAAGTGACTTAACCACCAAGCTACACTAAATGAGGAAACTTCTCGGCGGTGAGCTCCTCCGGTGCCTGGCATAAAGGGCTGTGTCCATTACGCTGGCTCAAGAGATCTGCAAACATCTGCAACCTAGAAGCGATGGCCTCCAACCTATAATAACCTATATAATTACAGTAATGGCGATGGCCTCCAACCTAATAGCATTGAAAACGTTGACTCGCCTGCTGTCCAAAGTTCACAACGATAATTGGATGCTGTGAAAAGCGATGAATAGAATCCACTAATCTCTCCTTAGTTGGCTTCTAGGACGCACAGAGACAAATACTATTCTGATCCACTTTGCAAAGCTCAGGGTGCAAAAAAGCTGCAGTAAGCTTGCCAAACACACCTGGCAAGGGAGTGTCGTGTCAATCAACGGAGAACATTGCTCCCGGTCAGCTGCCTCCGGGTTTCTTCACTGCAACATAATTCACCCAGGCAGCATCTGTCCAACCATCCTCTTTGTAAACCTCAATCTGAAGGCAGTGCTAATGTCAAACACTGCGTGCGCAGTTGACCACCACATCTGTTTAGTCGTGGTTCAAGGATCAGGCCTGCTGGTAGTTCTTCCGAAACCGTCGGTCCAAATACACCTCCATGTAAGGTGAGGTTCGGCTGTCCTGCAGCGGCTTTCATGGACTTGTTGGTTTAACTAAGCTAGTTCATTTCCTCATACGCTGTTTTCTCTGGTTTCTGGTTGAACTGCAAGGAAGTTCAAAAGGCACGGCCTGACATAGATGGTCCCAAGCCTTGTGTTGATTTACATTCCTTGGAATCATGAATCATCAACATCATACACATATCACTGGCCACTGATTGGATTTCAAAACTGCGAAAACGGCTGACTGATTATGTCGAGCCACCAGGATCTGCCAGGAGCTATCTGTCGCAGGTCGACAAGGAACGGCCAACATTCAATTCAAAGTACTACATTTTAGCAGGGTGGATGCCGGCGTTGCACTCAGAGTCTGAAAAAGCTTGAGAGAAAAAAGAAAGAGAGAGAGAGAGAGAGACTTTGAAAACTTGGTCCAATACACCTGCAAGTCTGATGCTAGCCACTAGATTCTAGACTAGACTCCTCATTATCCTCATTGTGGCAATCCAGCCAAGACTCCCAGCGTTTCACGACACAAGGTAGGCCTTGTCTAACTTGTCACAGGACAGGAGTGGCTCCTTCTCGGCGAACCCACAGACCGGAGCTCGTTTCACTTCCCGTCGAAGGCTTGTGGCACCTGCACTCACACGGAACAAGCCAGCGATTCACATCACCATCCAACTTCACCCACTTCCATATCTTCTAGGTTGACTTTCAATCATGCCTGCTTCATTTGAAAGGATTGCGAGTGTAAAAGCAGCCCATGCTGCAGCACGTCTGAAGGGTTGGATCATGAGTGCAGGCAGCATATCTTTGAGCCAAAATTGCAGAATGTTGTTGCTGCTGTTACCTGCCTAGCTGTCTGGTTATGAAGTTTACGCTGCAAGTGCTACACGTGAAGTATGTCAAGTCAAGTGACCTCGCAAACTCGCTCGAAATCTTTTCATCGTGAGACAGCAATTTGCTTGAGCGAGCCATCATAGCAAACGTTGTCCAAACCACAAACCGGCAGAAGCAGAAATGACTGTAGCAATCTTGGCCAGGAAGCCAGGACGCGACGAGAATTGCCCAAGCCGCTCCTCAACCCAACTCTTTGGGCCTGGATAACGACTAGTAGAAGGTGGTTCAAAAGAATGATATGACAAAACATACAACTTAACACAGATCTGGGCCGGCCACTCGGTACCATCTCCACAGTATCTGGATGCGCAAATCTTATGACCTGCTTGTTAAATCCGACAGGGGCAAATGACAATCTCCGAGTCCTTCTGAGTGCCTTGTAAATCTTGTTGCAGTAGTAGTGGTACATCTTCTTCTTCTCGTGTGGAGGCTTCTCGGATCCCAGCAAAGGAGGCCTGGAGAGACTTGTCTTCAATCGCCATCCGTCGCTAATCTCAGGTTCCCCCGCCGTCTGTCAGCCCTATAGCCCCGTCTTCCACGGTTTTCACTGTTGACCTTGGAGACGTGCGAGTGGCAATCAGTATGGTTTCGAAACAGCTACTGTATCTGCTTGATCCCTGGATAAGTACACCCTGGGTAGACTCTCGATGTAGTCACAACTTATTGATCTATGTACTTGTAGGCTTCCGGCAGCCTTGCGCCAGCGTGCTCTGTGCTTGTTGCACCACTTGCCGAAGAGCCTTAGATGCTCTCCAGTTGCAGAACCAGAAAAAAAGGTGGCCAGCTCCTTTTCATCTGATGTTCAACTTGCTCATCCCTCTGCTTCGAAAAATAGAACTAGTCAAAAGTTACCATACATCATTTCTGACCTGTGAGCCCCCACGTGACTACTGCTGCCAGGCCTCAGTGTGCACATCATGTTGCACAAGTGAGTTGTGAGAAATGAACACACACACATACACACATACACATTTCACTACATGTGGGACCCTGAAGACTTAGGTGCTCTCCAACAGCGCATCCAGGAAATGCAATCGCACCGCCACACGGGGACCTGAATTTTTTGGGCGCTATCCCGCCATGCGCATGTGCAATGCCTATGTTTTATTGCAAAGTTTGTTCCTGACTAATCAGAATGATTCATGGCGTCCAAAAACGCCCCCGAGGCAAAAACGAGTATCCTGCAAAAGGGCTGCTCTGCCCTGCACAAAGAATCGAAGGAAAAGCATCTCAGGCATGTGTGTTCAGTTCGAACCTTCAATTGCTCGAGGCTGTAAGCCCGTTCTTGATCCAAGCCTCACTGGCATAGACCCCAGATACGAGACAAGGCGGCAGGAGCAGCAGCAGCAGCAGCCGCAGCAAGCAAAACGCTGATCACACAGGCAAAGAAGTGAGGAGACAAATCCGCAGACAACTGGGAAGACAAGTAAGGGACAAGGCAGCAACGGCCGACAAAACCACAGCAAAACAGCAACAATCCTGCGGGAGCAAACCATAAGGTCCAGCAAAAGCATGGCTTGGGGGTCACGCAAATGTTTGAGGCGTTCTTGAAAAGTTTTTTTTTTTTTTAAGACAGTGTGTTGTTTGAAGATTTGGTCAAAATAAGCCAGGTAGAACCGGCATAAACAAACACCAGCGGCTTCATGGTACGGCTCTAGCTGGCTAGGGGTTGGTATTAGCCAGGTAGAGCCGGGACGGTGGGACACCAGTAGAACTACACTATACTGCTGATACCACGGCAAACTAGGAAAGGAAAGACCATAGTTTTGTCTCTGACTCACAGGCTTCGATGCAGGGATGCCTAAGCCGGACCCAGCCACGTAGCGGCGCGAATAGGCCACAGCACGATTCAAGGGAAATTGACCTGTCCCAGGCAGGAGTTGAACTTGGGAGGGAAGCTCGCGACCCCAGAATCAGATTCCATGGCTTGCCCATACACCCTTGATACACTGTGATATCGGGTACGGTACCCCAAAATCAGGCCAATTTGGGAGAATCCTCTCAAGCTAAAGCCAATTGAACTCGCCTGAGGCAACCTTTCGTGATAAGTGTCTCGAAATCATTCAAGCTGAGACGGCCACTGAATTGGAGGCGCAACTTGACCTCAGGCTATCAAAACTTGAGTTATGATGATGGCCATCCAAGTCCAAACAAATGATTTCAACGCATTTCAACGCATATTATCTGATTTTCATTCTGTGTGTATATATATATATATGTAGAGAGAGAGAGAGAGGCATGTCCTCGAGCTTGGCGCTGCTGAATGCAGTTGCCGTGTAAAGGAGAGCTGCGCCAGCTAGGGCCTTGGCTTTGGAGCAAATCAGTTATCCGCTGTTTTTCTTTGGCAGGTCACCAAGGTCGCTGCTCCACATAGAGGCCGCATCCTACAAGCCGCTGTTGGTCGGAGTCGTTTCGTTTGATCCGAGTCATTCCCACTTGCCAGTGTCCCGCCTGGCCGGTGGGGCTCACAGGACGTCCGCTCCGAAGCTGTGCCAAAACCACATCGGAGATCAGGTGTCGCATCGCATGCAGATCACATAATGTATCAAAGCTTCAATCCAAAACCAGTCAGGCGATGAATGGCCAAACACTAACCTCTCCAGTGGCCGTATTATTTTACCTCGATGGCAAAGTCATAGCAAACAAGGCACCTGAGTAACCTACAACTACTGGCGGGTTCTCCGTACTAGTACCAAGATTGGCTACCCGAGCAGCCATGTAGTACGTCCAAGGGCCTGGACCAGGTGCAGCTGACAACTCTGTGGCTGTAGCGATGCACTTTTTACTACTAGCTTCTTGTTACTACTAGTAAGGCACTTGTTACTACTAGTAAGGCACTTGTTACTACTGGTAAGGCACTTGTTACTAGTAGCGATGCACTTGCTACTAGTAGCGATGCACTTGCTACTAGTAGCGATTCCAGCCTTGTGACCCAGGGGTATCGACCAAAAGGCCAACAGGGTATTCACTCGAAGCTCCATAGTCAGAGAAAACCTTAGAAAAACTTCCGGTGCAACACTAGTCTTGTATTGAAATGCCTCATCTCATTAACTGTGCCACGACACCATGTCAAGACCAAACTCCTGGAGCAAGAAAACCTTTTCAGGATGAAAACTGGTACACCATGTGGCAGTCCTCCGAGAAACCCAGGTTCTGGGCAGAAACCGCACCTTCCTGCGATGAGGCGTTTCGGCACTTGACCAAAGCAACTTCATCTCTGTCCTTTCTACGGAAAATCGTGAAGTGAGCTTCATAGAAGTAGCTGAGAGGGTTGCAGTCAATGTGATACCTCGTTGGCTCATGCAAAGCATCTCCGGATGCGTGAGGAACCTTCCCCGGGTTCTAGGTCCCCGGCACCAACAGCACGCGATCTCTAGGTCTCCTAACATGTTTGCATCTGCATGATGATCTGAGACATGCGCAATGCTAAGCTGACTCCTCAAGCTGCAGCTTGCGGCCATCCCAGGTATTTCAGCCCATGTTGCATCATGAATCTCCACGGGCTCAGTGGGCCGCACAGGCCTCAAAAATGAAAGGAAACTCAGTAGGCGGCTTCGGTCCTTCGGTGCATTTACTTGCACTTACTCGTTACTTGTTGCTCCTTCGCTTCAGGTCACCGCCCTGTTCCGCTAGGCAGGCGAATAAGAGCCAACCTCAGCACCGTTTCGAAATTCGCGGCACTTGCATCTGTCGCCCCTTCAACCTGGGGCATAGACTGGCGTTCACCTTGCAATGTCAACGAGACTCCCGACCTGAGTGCGTGGTGGTTTGATGAAAAGCGAGAAGCAGATTCCAGCTACAAAAAGTGCTGTTGCAACGCGCCCAGAGTTAGCAACTTCACGCTTTTTGAAGTCCCTCCCGCAGCCGGTTGTCACTATCAAGCACCACGACTCAAATCCTGGCAGCAAAAGCTGCAAAACTGTTGCAAACAATTTTGCAATCTGGTCCATCTGTCCTTGCGTTCTTCATCGCAGCCTTCTTGCTTCACGCTCAGTCTCCAAAAGAGCAAGGATATCTCCTGGGAAGCTAACCTCTTGCATGATGTGAACATTTTTTAGGACACCAGCATTTTTTAGGACAGCAGCCTTCTCGGACAGGGCCCTTCACGTTCCGAATCAGGGAACGGCCGGCAAGCTCTGGAGCAGTCTCTGTCATGAACATAACGCCTGTGAGGGGCTGCAGATTGCAGCCCTGTTCACAGAGACATTGAAGCTCAGCCTCTTGTTCGTAATGACATTCCACATCATTCCACCTTCATTCTTGTCATAATGCTCTCCCCATGATGCAGTCAAGGAACGCACTTGGATCACGCCACCGCGGGATCCAGTTCTGCCCAAGATCTTCTCAACCTTTGCCAGCTTGACCTTATCAGAGTTTGCGACGAATCGAGCTCTTTCGGCCAATACACAAGAAGTAAAGGTGCTTCGGACATCTTTGGACATTATTTAGCCCAGGCACACCGCCCGCGTCCATGGTGGCTTCAGATCTTTTCGAAACTAGGAGGATCCACAGCTTTCAGAGCCAAAGTGGCTTGAAGGCAAACGCCCAAATTCAAATAGCTCTAAAAACAATGTGAGCTGCAGTTGCAGTTCGTTGTTCATGCCACTCAATGGTCTCTGGTGCTGTTCTGAAGCTTAGGTAGGAACTCCTCATCGGTTGTCAAAGCAGCTCTGACACGATACAAATGAGGTCCAGGTGGAGGTTCATCCACAGTAGCCTCCAAGGAGCCAATTCAACCACCACATGTCCCGTTCTTCTCCTACCCTTCCGCACCATCAGGAGCGTGCGCGGCTGGCTTGGTCCAAGCGCTCTCACTGACTGCAGTCCTCTGTCCTTGGATGGAGGTCATGTACTGGGCCGGCAATTTCGTGCATCGGTGCTGTCCAGCTTCTGCTAAACCATCGAGGCCCAGGTCATCGCCTTGGACATGAGTGGGAAAATGAATCTGATGGAGAAACAAAAAACGCAAGAGCTCTGTTGGTCTTTGAAGTTCATCAACTTGTGAACTTGGCATTGCTTGAGGGCCGCGGCGAACTACGGTGAAGCGACCTCGATTGAGTTCGCCTTGGATGCTGCACTCGTCAATTTGTTCGTGGCAAACTTTGAACAATTGCTCCTATTAGCGATGCCAGGAGCGCCTAGTAGCGTCCTTGCTCCTACTAGTAAGGCCAGGAGCCCCTAGTAGCTTCTTGCTCCCTAAGGGCGGGACTTGACCAATTTGCCACGTAGTGCAGAGTGCACAGCACCAAAACTTTCTCTCCAGGCAATGTAGTGACTACCTCTGGAACTCAGGGAATGTGGACCCACACCATTACTAGGCAAACTATTTCCCCACTAGGGTTTCAACTTTCAACCAAGCCGGCCTCGTGTAATCCATTCACATCTTGCCATGGCCCAGGAGGAAGACTTAGCACTTCATCATCTTCAACCCATGAAACCTGGCAGGAACCTTTGAGACTCAAACTCAAAACATAAAGTACGTTGTCATTCTCTGAAAACACCTTGAAGGTCTGTTCAAACCAACATTGTTGATGGGAAATACATGTCAACCTACCAAAGCTCTTGGAAGGTCCCACGTGAAATACAAAGGATGCGTCCGTCCTCTTGTTGCAACCCATTATATACAGTAGATACTTGCAGCCTCTCTAGTTCTACAACGCAGGGCCTGGAAGGCCTCCAACACAAGACTGAAAAGCTGCCTAGCGAAGCAGGCTTGGGAGTGACATCTTGGGATCCAAAAATCTATCAAAACCCTTGCTCATAGTAGCGATGCCAGGAGCCCCTAGTAGCATCCTTGCTCCTAGTAGCGATGCCAGGAGCCCCTAGCAGCGTCCTTGCTCAGGAGCCCCTAGTAGCGTCCTTGCTCCTAGTAGCGATGCCAGGAGCCCCTAGTAGCGTCCTTGCTCCTAGTAGCGATGCCAGGAGCCCCTAGTAGTAGCGATGCCAGGAGCCCCTAGTAGCGTCCTGCTCCTAGTAGTAAGGCCAGGAGCCCCTAGTAGCGTCCTTGCTCCTAGTAGTAAGGCCAGGAGCCACTAGTAGCATCTTTGCTCCTAGTAGTAAGGCCAGGAGCCCCTAGTAGCGTCCTTGCTCCTAGTAGTAAGGCCAGGAGCCCCTGGTAGCGTCCTTGCTCCCGGTAGCGATGTCAGGAGCCCCTGGTAGCGTCCTTGCTCCCGGTAGCGATGTCAGGAGCCCCTAGTAGCGTCCTTGCTCCTAGTAGTACGGCCAGGAGCCCCTAGCAAATCCCCAGCCTCCGTTCCTTCTTCTCTCCCACAAAATAGTGGGATCCTTCCCTGGCGGCTTTCAGCAACAAACTTGTGACACAGGACGCAAACTAAAATACGATGTGCGAATGCACCTCCCAGCATTGCCAACCACCTGGCACAATGCATGTCATCCAGGAGGTTTAGACTACTTTCCATGTCGCTTGGGACCTTGCTTCTTCGCCTGGTATTCAAATTCACCTCGTTTCAGTGGCTGATCCAGCCAAGGAAGGCAGATATGATGACTCCTCAGTCTCCGGCATTCGAATCAAAGAAGGTATTCAAACCACATACAACTCAGCAAAGTTTCCAGGATCTTTGCCTGCTGTACCTGGGCTCTACCAAGTTCAGAAGAGTATTTGTCGTGCATTCGTTCGATCAAAGAAATATGATTATGTCATGTAAAGGCAAGGAAAGCGTGTTGACTTGAAGAGTTTGGTCTGGTATGCGGTAAGCAACGAACGATGAGAAGAACGAAGAAATAGCCCTGTCATCTCGTCTCAGAAGTACATGGGATTCCTGAAATCAGGAAGTGCAGATTGTTGGCTTGTTGTGGCTTTGTGCTGAGGCCTCTCTGTCGGATTCAGGCGTAATGAGCATATTTGCCACCAACAGAATACAATCCTGCAGGTGCGACGTTGCATCCGCACTGATAATTTGCTCAGTGTGACTTATGGTCCTCTTCATTCGCTGGCTTGACAACGAGCTGGCTTCCCTTCAAAGGTGTCCAATGGTCGGCCTTCCCCTCGACCTGCATGCGGTCATCATGAAGAGTCTTCAAGCATCAACTATTCTTCGCTGTCAAAGGGTATTGAGGCATAGACTCGCTGTCGATCTGTGGCCTGAGTCACTGTCACCTTGAGCTTCGGCAGAAGGCAAAAACATCCAGGTGAAAACAAAGAAAGCTAGCATATTGACAAATATATATATATATATGTGTGTAAGTACGTATAATATATATATATGTGTGTGTAATGATCCGAAGCAAGAGTATCCTGGGTGGAACATCAAATCTACTGGTTTCTCAACGCAGCAAGGCTGAACGGTTGAAGTTTGATTGAAAGCCCAGAAGCACACAGGTGGACTGGGCTGTCAAAACGTGAGGTGTGGGTGTTTTTGACCGCCCCACAAGCTCATGCAAGCTCTGCCCCACAAGCTCATGCAAGCTCTGCAAAGGAGCAAACAGCAAGGAAGCTTCTTAATGCCTGCTCACATGAAATGCTCAAGAGCAGCACCCTACATTAAGCATGATGCTTTGGGGGCAGAAGCCGCCGACGGCAAAGTCAAACAGAGACATTTAAGATTTCGCCTTTTGACCTGATCTATACATGAGTTCAATTCAACAACGTTCTCAAAAAGCACGTGTAAATAGGACACAAACGAGGTCAATGAGTGCAAGTGACCAGTAGTAAATAGATAAGCTGCGAGGATGTGAGGCGAAGAGAGATGACAGGGTGTGGCACAAAACGACATGATGAATATGAGAAGTACCATATAATACAATATGTATATATATATATATTTATTTATATATATATATATATGTATGATTATATATGTGTGTGTAATGGTAATGAAGTAGAATCAGAAGTGTCTCTGTGGGGCAAGAAAGCACGTCAGTCATGGTCGTGAGTTGTCAATCCCATGTTGCTGGCCAGTGTGAGAAGGAGAACTCAGCCAATGCAGTCGCCGCAGCAAGCTCTTCCACACAGTGATAAGGACTGCACCGGATATGTCGAAGCACAAGGAGTCACAGTCTCCAAAAGTCTTTGAAGCACCTCTATCGCACAAGCATCAGAGTGGCTTGAGTCATGACAGGAAAAAGCATGTAGAAGGAACTCACCAACATGAAAATGTTGCTGCTTGAGTCAAGCTTGAGTCCAAAATGATCTTTAGGCGTCTCAACCCATTGAGTCTCTGTCAAGGCCTCCATTTGATCTTCAGAAGTCTGCGACTCAGAATCTTCGACCTCAGCCTGTCCAAAGGCATTGTCTGCTGGAATTTGTGTTTTGCATGAACAGTGTCCGGCAGGAACTGCCTGCGGCGGAAGCTTCAAATTGCTTTGGTTCGCCATTTCAGCGATGAAGGCCTTTTGCCACAACACCTGCTCAGGACGCCAGTTTCGCGGCCAAGGCGGCAGCAATTTCCATGTCGTCTTCCACCCGCTGATCCGCTGGTCCCACGCTTTCTGAGCAAAAGAATGGCCTGCTTACTCAGCACCTGGTCTTCAGGTGCTGCGGCGACCGCGGCATCAGCTGCCTAACTTGACACGGATTGCCCTTGACAAGAATGAAGCGCATCAATGTGCACTGTCTCTTCTAGCTTGGCCTTAGCTGCTTCCGCTGCCATCAACTTGTGTTCATGTTCAGGGTCCTTGGCAATTTCTACATTGCATTTGCATCAACAGGTCGGTACAAGAAAGATCTGCATGACACCCGACACCCGACCTCAACATCCACATCTTCTTTGCTAAAGCAAGGAGGTCCTTCCGCCTTGGCCATAGAAGGAAAGAGAACAAGATGTAAGAGCGATATTATACGTTAAATAGAAAGTCATGCGGTATCTGCTTTGAAATGTTGTGAAATGATGTGAAATGTATCTGCTCAGTCTTTCAAATCGATTGCCTGCGACTTCCGCAGCGCTTCCTCGCGCATCTCCTCCGAACACCTGCCGTCACTCACAACAAAAAAAGAAAGGTGAGGAAGAGTGCTTTTGAAGGCACAAAGGGGTGTGGTCAGCAGTGAGTAAGAAGTGCAACTGCAACGTATACAATCACAACACAATTTCACCTCAAAGGATTGAGGCTTGCCGGCTTGCCTGTTAATAGCATACCCGGAAATACCGGAAAACATCTTTGGCTGGTCCGGCAGCTCCCAGCCTGTGAGGGTTTGGATACCTGAACTGCCAAATTGTGACAACGTACGATTGGGCTGCGACGCTCTAGACAGGCGCCCAGCAAGAAACTATAGAAAACTGGTTGTATCACGTCTGAGGAACTGGCCCAGCATGTGTAAGCAAATCTGACACTTCCATCAGAACCATGTGTAACCACTCCCACTGCTACAGGGCTGCCAGACTGCGGGAGAAGGCCCTGGTGTGAATGAAGCGACCACTACTCAATGTGCAACTAAGTGCAAACTTACCGGTCTGTTCGTGCAGCTCTTTCCACTCGGCGTCCGTAAGATTGGGTCA